ATTATAATAATAATAATAATAATAATAATAATAATAATATTGTCAATGACAATGACAGTCTTTATTCATCTCGCAGGGAGACATTTGTCTTGGTCTTTAACAATGGCAGTACAGGTTACAAAGATTAGGTTTGGTCCTGGAATTTTGGACAGGCAGACCACAACAACACGTTAGGCTGATCAACACAAAATCTGACACAATCCTTTTTAACACCGGCGGACCTCAGGGCTGTGTTTTGTCACCAGTTTCGTATACAATATTATATACCAACGATCATAGAAGTAAATATAAAACAACTCTCTGAATATCTAAAAGAACTGCTTGTCTGTGTGGTTAAATATAAAAATAATGTATTCACATACACTTGAAGGCGAAGGCCTACCTGTAGCCAGGCTAGTCCATAAAACGGGAATATGGCGACACACGGCAATATGACGACACACGGGAATATGACGACACACGGGGATATGGGGACACACGGGAATATGACGACACACGGGAATATGGTGACACACGGGGATATGGTGACACACGGGAATATGGTGACACACGGGGATATGGCGACACACGGGAATATGGTGACACACGGCAATATGGTGACACACGGGGATATGGCGACACAGACGTTTGACTTACTTTTTGCGTTCGCTTGTACTCCCAGAAGGTGCCTGAACAGGAACAAAGTAACACTGAGATATCAGCCATAGAACGGTGTTGAAAGATAACAGAGGTGGGCTATAGTACTTCTTGGGACATGCTTATGGTCGATAGAAAATATTTAAAAACCTCTATGGCGCAATGAACATTTTAAACGGGTCACTGTCGCCTCTATAGCTCTTGATTGCCATCTGTGTATGTTGTTCTCTGTCCTGAAATGTTTCACTGTACTTTATGAAAAAATGCGCCGGTGCCTCATCATACATGCCCCGTGATAACTGTGTAGGTGGTGATGCGTCAAACTCATAATTCCCTTTGTATCAGAGAAGATCAAGTGATCCGATAATGCAGCCAAGAGCTAGATAGGCTACGGTGGCCTTTTTAGACGGTTCATTGCGCAATACAGTTTTCAATATATCGATCGCCCTTAAGCCTGTCTCAGGTAGTGCTATAGTCCGCTTCGGTTGAATAAATATTTCAACACCGTTCTTTGGCTGACATTACGGTGTTGTCCTGCATCCTGGTCGTGAGACGTCTGGTGGCACAAGTGAACACAAGAAGTAAGTCAAATGTCTCTGTCGCCATTTTCCCGCGTATCGCACTATCCCAGTTTTATGGACTAATATGGCTACAGGTAGGCCATCGTCTACGAGTTTACGTAAATACGCTCTCTTATCAACATCATCATCATCCGGTGCCTTGCCGACTGGCGTGGGCGGTCATGAACCTCAACTTCACTGTCTTGCGTTGCAGCAATAGTGACATTCTCATAATATATCTAGCGGCCAAAGATAATAAGTAGTTCATTTAAATACTATTCGCATTCAAGGAGCAAATCTCACTGGGTAGTTTGTAGCATTCAGTTGCTAGTATAATTGGTACGTAACATTTAACTCTAGGCTCTATATGAGGAAAGGTAATCATTATAAAGAAGTGTAATTAATGTTATCTTAACTATTGTTATTCCCCTTGTATTTATTATTATCATTATCAGTATCAAGGTGTTGTTATCATCCCTATATCATTGTTATTATTAT